CAGATGCTATTATTTTGAGCTGGAATGTTAATTTTTGTTTCATTTTTATACAGATAATATTAATTTGCATTTGGGTATATGTTTTCTCTCTTATTTACATCTGCATTGTTTTCTTGGAGCATCGTTTAGGATAAATTTGCTACTTCGTGAGCTGTAACTTTAGAGTTCCTTTAGCACAGGAAGCTTGGTAATAAAGTTATTGGTAATAAGATTTCACTTATTTAACTGTTAATGTCTTAAAAATATTGTTTTTAAGAGATCTTTGAGGCATGCAAATCAATGTTGATGATTTTCTCTGAACACGTTAAGAATTTTCTTCTATTGTCTCCTGACTTCCATTATTATCACAAAGAATCTGCTCTTTTGTAAGAGTAATCTGTTTCTTCCTTTTGGAGTCTTTAAAGGAGGGGTGGGGGGGTGGTGTGGGGTGGGTGAATATGTATGTGTATGTGTGTGTGTGTGTTATAATTATGATGCATCTAAGCATGGATTTCTCTTTATACATCTGAGAGAATTTTGTTGTCCTGGCTCTGTGGTAGCCATCAGTCTGTCTCCATATTACCACTGATCATCTTCTCTTTTTTCTCTTCTAGTTAGACCTAATTTATACTTCCTTACTTTTGTCTTCTGCATCTTTAAATACTTTATTTTCATAAACCTTGATTCTGTTTTAAATTCTAGTTAAATTTTTGGACATATTTTCTAGTACACTTATTTATGCAGTTCGATCTATCATCTACTATTTAAACAATTAACTGATTTCAAAATAGACAATCATTTTTCACTCTGGAAGTTATAATTTCTTATAACACCTTTTTATTACCTTTTTTTTTTGTTCTAATAGCCTTTCATATTGTACTATTTGTGTTGATTTCAGAAATAATTCTAAATTTTATTGTTGGCATTTTTACTTTCTCCAGTTGATAGTCTTATTGATTCTCAGTCTACAGTTTGCATCCTCCTCTTTGTTATTGATTATGAGATCACTGCTTCAGTTTAATTCGTAGTATTCCTGTCTTCCTAATTGTGGCTTGCAGAACTGTTTCCTGCTGGTAGCCAAAGGACCATTTCAGCCCCCTTGGAAAGTCACCATTAGTGTTAAATATTCCAGTTCCCCTCCCACAACTGCCCTAATATTGTTAACCCAGGTATGAGTGTGCATTTTCAGATATCTACCCAGCCCTCTTGACCCTTACTTTGGGCAAGGTTTCTACATAATTCCAAATCCTCATTGCCCCAAACCAGATATATTTTATTAAAGTAAGAAATTTTTGAAGATTTCCTCTACTACTTTTAAAACCAGCACACTCTCAAATAGGATGTTCTTTTATGGCTTTTGTTCTGGGTTCACATTCCTGAAAGTTAAAAGTACTGTTTTTCCATATCACCATTTTTTTTCCCTTTATTAATTTGTACTTTTAAATTCTATGATAGTAAAAATATGTTCTTGATACTTTCTTCCTGTTGTCTCAACTCTCCAGTTTTGTGTGAACTGCTAGGTCAGCTTTGAATGACTTGCTAACCCTGACTTCATAAATAAATTTTTGACTTTCTAAACACACAGACATTGGTCCAGGTCTCTAAAGTTTTAGATGCCTGATTTTTCCTTTTTCAGTCTTACCTTGTTCCTTGCTTACAGTAGAGGGAGAGAAAGTAGTCATACTTTCCAGACATACTGGAAAGATTCGTATTGAATTTTTATTCCATAGTCTTTTGATAAGAAGTTCCTGGAAATAAATTGATAATTTAAAATTTAATTTTGATCTTTGTTTTTAGGGAGAAATTGGACCTGTAGGACCAATAGGAAAAAAAGGAGCTCCAGGGATACCTGTATGTTATTGTCATTATTATCGAACTGTTTGAGATATTATTAATGCATACTAGGAACTCTTATTCTGGAATTTTAGCTAAAGGGCATACATAGTGAGGTATTTGGGGCCTACAAAATCTGTGCATATGTATGAAAAAAATACTTGCTTATGTCCAGTTTTCTAGAAGAGTCTGCATTTCTTCAGAGTTTTAAAGCTGGCTACCCAAATAAAAATGAACTCTTACAGTTGATAAAACCAGAGACAAATATTCTAGTCATTCAGTCAAATTTACTAAGTACTATGGGCATGTCTAAAACACAATGAATATTCTTTATAAATTTTTAATAAAATTACACATTTATTACATAATGATGGAAAATACAATTAAAAGAGGTATCATACAAAGATTGTAAACTAGTGAACAAACTATTTTGAAAATTTTGGGTGTTAGAGAAATATAGTGATTTGATAGTCTTAGGTTCTAGATTAAGTCAGATCTTTGTGACTTGAATAGTTATTGTCTTATTTTGAATCACCTGTTTAATTAAAAATGTGACCATCTTGTAACTTGAAGAAAGATTATTATTATGTCCAGGGAATTTATTAAATGTTAACACTTTTAAAATGTTATTCAAAAAAATAGAAAATGTAAGTAACATTGGCTAAATAATACCTGTGAAGAAGCCTAATTCTAAACATAATTATGAGAGGAAAAAGTGAGAATGTCCTAAAAAATAAACTTTCACTTACATTTGTCTTCTACTAGGTCTAAACTAAGTTTTGCTATTGTATGTTATTTGAATATCCACATTTTAAGAGTTGTGCTACCTTTAATGACATTTTGGGTAGATTGATTATTTTCCTTTATTGGAGTGTGTGTGGGAAAATTTTGTGAATTATTATGAAAATGTATAAGTGGGAGATGTATTAAATATATTTACCATTTTCTCTAAATTATTCTTGACATTCTTATTCAAACATTTAGGGCTTAATGGGAAGTGATGGTTTGCCAGGTCATCCTGGAATGCCAGGACCTAAGGTAAATATAAAGAAATTGATAAGATTGAGAACTTGTTACATTTGGTCATTTATGTGCTTCATAAATATTTTAATAGCATTGATTCTACTTTGACTGTGACTTTTTCCTTTGCCCAATTACTTTAAATGTGAAATATGAAACTCTAAGTACACTAAACAGGCTGAAGTGTGCTGGCTTGGTTTACTTAGTCTGGGAATTGTCTGCAATCCCTCATTACTTGATTGTCTTTCCTGTTGCCACCTCGGAGGACAGAAAAGAATAGGTAATGTTCTGTAGAGTTCAGTGGCAAATTCACCTTTAGAGCATTAGTAGTTATAAATGGACATACTCTTCGCCATTTTCCAGTCCTCTTCTTGATATTTTATTTAATGGAATGTGTATGGAATTTTTATTTGTAAATTTTATTGCAGTGAGTTTTATTAGATAATTTTCCCTGGGGACCCAGATAAGATAGCCTATAATCTTTACTTCAGGTTTTAAAAAAGTGAGATAAGTTTGACAAATATATTTAGTATGTTAGATTAATTATTGTCAGGGTGAACCTGAAATTTTTGAGTACCATGGTTTGTCTATTTTCTAGGTACAGAAACCCTTTGTTGATAAATATTTTTTTCTTGGCTTAGAAGAGGATACAATTAAGCACATTTTGACAAGAGTCAAAAAACTATTTTTTTTTTTTAACAAGTACAGTCTAGGACAACTTTCCAAAAGAAAGTGATGGAATTGCAGATTTTGAAGCATTCAGCATTTAACCAGTCATTGCCCCTGAGGGATAAATCCTGGCAAGCAAAATGGGTAGATGACCTAACATACTTAAATTTCTAAAGTATTTAGAGAAAGAGGTAAAATAGCACATCATGGGAGCTCAGCAAGTTGGGAATGCTGCTGCCCTCTCACCAGTGGGAGACCCTGTGTTTCCTGCAGCAGCGGCAGGTCTGTGCATTGAATATAAAACCTGTGAGTTACTGGATTTGCCCAGTAGAAATTCTCTGTAATTTTTCAAGATACAGAATAGCTTTATGCTCCTTGTGGACTCTCCTGTGGTGCTGTGGTTGCTCTAATTTTTTAAAAAACAGCCTAAAATTTCATCGCCTTTTTTTTTTTTTTTATATATAGCCACTTCTTATTTTTGCCTCACACCACGCTGGAAGGCAATAAAATTGACTTGATTTTCCATAAGCTATTTTAGAACAATTTACTTAATGTTGATGAGCACTTGCGGAAGATTCTGCTGATTTGGTTGGAGAAACACATAAGCTGTTTCCAGGATTACAATTTGTTGATTTTTACAGAATCACTATAAAGTGATTTCCTTCCTATTGTACTTATGCAATTATTTTATTAATAATGGATTCAAGATTTTAAAATTATATTATTAATATAATATTTTAATAAAACATTTCAACCTCCTTATATGTAGTATATTAACTTACTTTTTTTTTTCTGCTAAGTAAATAGTATTATTTCATTCTTTGAAGGCCAGATAGTTTTTGTTGCAGCTATTCAACGTTATTGTTTTACAAGAGTAGTCAGGAACAAAGAAATTGAATAGGATAGCTGTGTTCTGGTAAACCTTTGCTTTCTAGGACATGCTTTGGGCTGAAATTAGTTCATGGGCCATGTTTTGCTTCATCTACATTAGCTTATCTCTGTCACCTAGTAAACTAAAATTTTTGTGAACTTTGCCTTCAATATTGTGGGTAGAAATTTTAGGGTGGCACAGAAAACTGTTAAGTGATAGGATGAGTCTAAACTCTGGTAGGGCTTTAGACAATTTTTAATTTAGATTATAACATCACTTTTTAAAACAGTCATCAAGCCATTTGTAAATCTACCGTACTATATTGCAGTTCAAATGAAACTAGTGTTTATTAACATTTTGACATTAACTTGCACCAAGTCTACCACATCTATGAGTTTCAGCTTAACCTTTTGTCAAACTAGAAACTTTAAGGAGCTGTCACTCTGTGGTTCAGTAGTGCCATGTGTTAAAAGCAGTATTAAGTACAAATGTTACATTCACACGTTCCTCACTATGAGCAACATAGGAACTTTTTCAATTACAGAAATAAGGTGGGTTTCATTTATCTATTTGTGGGCTCAATGTAACTCTGTGGGCTCAATGTAACTCAATGTACTGCCCTGAATGTCTCACTGATGTAATTCATTCTGGGCTTTGCTACACTGAATGGGTTGTAATTTCAGGTATCATGTAGATTTGAAAACCTAAAATACCATTGAAAACTCTTTAAACTAGCCTGTGGGCACGTTTACTTTTTATATGTATGGTCTCTTTTTCTGTCTTAAATTTTTTGTCAAAGTGGTCCTATTTTCCAAGTTTCTGTTAGAAAGGATTGTGTTGAAATCATAAAAAAAGTACATAAAGTGTTTATGATTTATACTTCATCAAAAAAGATACTGTACACCTCAAGCTAATTTTCTTTCCTTCCACTACACACAAAATTCAAGTCATACTGAGAAAGTGCATAGAGCAAAAATAATTCTCAACCCAGGGGATACTGTTAAAATGTGTGGTTTCAGCCTGTATATTATGGAGACACAGCTAATAAGTGCTGGCCTCTAACGATCTGACTCTCTTCCCTGTTAATGTGGTTGCCAGATTTCACAGACATTTTTGGAGAGCTTTATAAATGGGTGGAATCATTGTCTTGTTCAAAAAAGTTTTATTAATAAGACTTCATGCATAGGGTTTACATTTCAAACAATTGGAAAATTGAAAATATACAGTTAAAAATTATTTCCTTAAATTTTTATATCAGTTATATTGTAACTAATTACTTTTTTATTTAAAATTGTTCAATGCATGTACAGGGAAGTAAAGGTGAGCCTGGACATCAAGGGATTCCTGGTACCTCTGGGCTCAAGGTAACTGTGACTGGCTGCATTTGTAAACAATTTTGTTTCACTCATTATTTGATGAAATTAGTATTTTGTATTACTCAGGAAAAAGATAAGAAATTAAAATGTTACTTATGTCATAAAAGGAAGGGATTTAAGTGAAATTTTCTAGGTGGAATTTCATTTCTGTTTTCTGGATACTTTGTCATAATTTGTAAAGAACATATAAAATATATTTTGATTTTCTAGAAATGGTGAAAGTTGTATGCTAGTAAGAACATGTTTTCTGGCCATGAGAGCATCTCTTATTTAACTGAAAACAGAGTGTGGCTCCTACAAGCTGTGCTGTCCCTCTGCTTACTGATTGTTGGGATTTCAGTGTGTGAATGCACATATGGTTTTACATCTTCAAACTAAATCAAATAGTTGATGTTTGCTTCCAGTGGATTTTTAAAATCTCTTCTTGTTTTTAAATCTAGATTAATATCCACCAGCTCCAGTAGGAAGCACAGGGAAAATAAAGGACAAAATTTGGTTTTCACCAAAAATAGTATCTTTAGTTAACATGATAGATTCTTAGACTAATAGTAAAATACAAAGCAAAACAAAAGTCATGAATATTATATCTATATTGTAGATACAGTATTGCTAAAGGATTTCAGAGAACTTCCTTTTTTCAGACTTGTAAGATTTATTCCATAGAGGAAATTATCTCTATGGGATCATAGAGAGCAGCAAAAATGAGATTTGATAACTTGGGGAATATTCCCTGTACTGACAGTTCAGGAATTTGCTTCTAAATAAATGATTTTCCATATATATAAAGTTTGAAAAAACCTAACTATGCATAAAATCTAGTTATAAGTATGTTTATAAGAACATTGCTTATAGAAATTGTAACAACTAATACTTAACAACAGGTATTTAACTGAAATATAGTAATTTAGTACAATTGAATACTCTTCTATAATTTACAATCATATAATAAAAACATAATGGTATGTAAGATTGTCACAATATTAGTACCTTTTGAAACAAAACAAAAAAATGTAACAAGATTTGCTTAAAAGGTAAGCATGGCCAAGTTTTGTGTGTATGTGAGAGGTAGAAAGAAAATTTATGACAATTTAAGAAGTTGGTATTGAGTTTTTCCAATAATTTTCTATTCTGTTTACTTAGAAGCTTTGTGACAATAAAGTAATATATTTAAAGAAGCAGTAGAAGAAAAAGTAGTTTCAAGGAGGAAGAGAAAGTGTTAGTAAACAAGTAAACCAAAAAGATAAGCTGTGTTTATTATTTTTATTGTTCTTATTGTATTCACTGTTGAAGCTCTAAAATATAAAAATACCAATTACTTATACATGTTTAAAATACAATATAATATCAGAAGTTTTTAAGTAGCAAAGGTATGAAAAATAAAAAGTTGTATAGGGTTCTAGTAAACATTTTTTCATTTTTCTCTGGTAATAACATAAAATGTCTACATTTTTTTAACCACCAATTCTAATTTTAAGATATACATGGAGATAAATACAGTGGTATTTTTCATAACATGTTGTGATCTTTATGTAATTCCTGTGTTAACTAGGGAGACAAAGGAGCAATGGGCACACCTGGAGAACCAGGATACCTGGGTTTACCTGGGATTCAAGGAAAAAGGGTAAGTATATTTGGGTGATAGAATCCATTTTTAATTAACAATTAACCAGTAATTTTTCCTTTTGTGAAAGTGGTATAGTTGGACTGTTACTGCTTTTAACAATAGTCCAACTTAAGTAGTTGATGTGTATAGAATGTATTCGATCTTCCATGTTCGTTAGCAATGGCATCCTTCATGTCCTTGCATGTGTGTTGTCTTCTAGATGAAGACTTTGGAAAAAGGCATGCAGATCAGAAAATATAGACATACAATTAAGCAATATCCTGTAAATTCAGATTGTTTTTCAGTCAATCCAGGTGAGTCAAAATTTTTAGGAAGATTTTAGCAAAATGTGAGCACCCTCTTACCTAAGCTGGGGCAAAAGTCTTAACAGGATAGAAATTAGACTCAAAATGTTTGAACCTGAAATTCCTATCAGTGAAACAGTTATAACACAGAGAAGTTCATTTAAAATTAAGGAGTTTAAAAATCAAATATTATATACTTATCTACAGGTTTTCCTATTAAAAAGTAGATGAATTCTTATTTAATTTGATTGGGAGGTTAGTTTTTGGGTCAGTGAACACTATTGTCATTGATTATATGGATTTTCAGTGTTCTTAGGAGCCAAAACTAACCTACCTACCAAATCACGCAAGTAGGATAGCAGGAGGAACCTGTAAAATGTTTTTGGTGAGGAAAGTAGCAATAGTGCTTTAGGTTTGTGTTTTGCTCATTCACTCACTCTTACTCTCACTCTCTTTCTGTCTCTTCCTCAGTGAAGTAAAGAAACGCCAACTACATCTATATAATATTATTTATTTGGAGATTTTAAAAAGCAACTGATTAGTGTTACAGAAATCCATGCCACTACAAAAATTTAATTTCAATTTAGAAGTAAATATACTGTTGTACTCTTTTATGATGGAAAACAACTCTTTGTCTTCATATTCTTCATATTCTTGCTATTTCAGCTTTTCCTTTATTTCTCTTTCTGTCCCCCGTGTATTATGCACTCCACCCTGGATTGTTATGGCCAGCAGGATCTTTGACCGTTTCTGTGTCCATGAGCAGTAGACAGCTCTTGCCAGACTAGGATCAGCCTCTTGGCAGTAATGAGGTGTGAAACCCTTAGTGAATATTAAGTAAATCTACTGTGATTGTAGATTTAGAGAATTTTCCTCTTTAAAAAAGTTGCCATTTGAATGAACATCTGTATTCTGTTTGTTGTAACACAAAACTCTGCAGTGTTTAGGTAACATGTTGAGGCAGAAATGAAATTTAAAACAGTGTATCCCAAATTCTGGAAAGTTAAATTTTGAACAATCTCTTTCTTTCCTGATCTACAGGTTCATTGTTTATAAGGACAAGGACATTGAACTTAGTTGGACTCTCATGTCTCTTTTGGCTGAGAAATTCTTTAAAATGTATTACTATGGAATATAAATTTCCTCTATAATGTTCCTTTTTGAAGCATATGTTTTCTAAAATATCATGTCAATATTTGGGTATACTTCATAATTTCCTATAAATTTGTGATGACTGTAAGTTCAGTGGAAGATTTTCAGTTTTGTTTCATAAATGTCAAGTCCTCTCTTATTTGTCTGCTTATCTTCATATTGTGATAAATACAGAAAAAAAGTTCTGGATGAAATAGAAACTCTAGAAATTTTCTTTCAAATAGAAGAACCCAAGAAAGTGTTCATTGAAAACATCATTTCACCATAATGTGGTTTTATTCTTTCATCAAATATTGTGTTGGAATCAGAATCCACATAGGCCACTTGTGGAATTTATATTAGACCATGTATTTTTCTTTGTTGAAGAAAAAGATGTTTATTTGAAAGGACACAGAATATACTAAATTATAATAAGTGCTAAACTGCCTTTTTTTTGCAGGGGGACAAAGGAAGTCAAGGAGAAAAAGGCATTCAGGTACACTGCTGGTTTGTTAGGGGTTGCCAGTCAATAAAATCAGAGCTTTGTTTTTTTCCTAATTCTTAAACTGACTCCCTGCCCCTTCCGTTTTAGTATTAACAACTAACTATTATACCCCAGGCTTTTTGCTGCTAAACTTCTGGGATAACAACAAATCTGAAGTTAAGATTCTTACGTTACTGTTAAACTTGGAAAACAAGTGATTCAGCAAAATATAAATTTTATTATGTGCAGCTAATATGCATTTATTTGCATATTTCTAATGTGAATGTTTCAAATAATTATCTGAAATGGTTAGGGCACAAATTAATTTTATAAGCACTATTAACCCCAATATAAAACATGTTCATTCATAATTCAAGGTGAATTATGGCAGAAAATTCTATCAGGCTGAGAAATCTAGAGTGATTTAGAAGGACATTTGATTTTGGATGTCAGCAACAAAGGCAAAGAAAAGAACCATACTGCTACTTTTGGGAGAAAGGTTTCACTTTGGTTCTGGAATTTTTGTTTTTGTTGTTCACTAACACGAATAGGAGACCACTAGTAACAAGATACTTATCTGGAATAAATTTTATCAGTGGTCTTTTCATCTTTTAATTATTAGGAACATAACAGCTTTTAAAATCATAATCACTGACCTAATGGTCAGGCATTTCTTTAATGATATTTTCAAGATTGCAATCTTGGCTTTAGGTAATGTGTTAGTTAACTTTTATTTTGCATATTAAATCACTGCCTTCATGACATTTTCTATGGGAAACAGTATTATAGACAGCAAAATGATGTTTTTATGCATATGTAATTGCATCATGTGCAAGATAATTCCATGTATTAAATCTTAAAGGGTCAAAAGGGAGAAAATGGAAGACAAGGGATTCCTGGACAGCAGGTATTTTTTTTTTTTTGAAAGTGAAATAATGAATCGTATAATTGGACATTGCTGAGATGAGGTTACCTATAAAAAATGAATGGGTATAGTGAAGGACTGATATAACGTGCAGTCTAAGCATGCAAACTGAACATGTTCAGTCGAGGTGGGGATAACGGTTTAATTGTGTTATATTTTTATTTCCCTATGTTGATACTGTTGTTGCCTTTGAAACTTGCTTTTCAGTAATTTTTCTGACCAACTAATTACTGATGGTAGATAATTATATCCATTACTTGGAAGAATTATTGACCAAAGTCTTTCATACAAGGGCAGCCTTTCCATAACTACTGTTTATTTTTGATTTTCTTTCTTTTTTGGTAATTTTCTTACATTGTTCATTTTTGTTTAGTAATTGGTTTCTCCCTCAGTGTAAACCGTGTACTTTACCCACCACCATAGCAACACATGAACCCTCACCATATTCCCTTTTTCTCTCCTGCTTCTGTGCCTCAGATCTGTTGTCAGCTTGCTAGTAGTTTTGATTTTATTCTTGAAATGCTACCAATTGAGGCCATATGTAGTGGAGGAATATACTTATTTTCCACTAGTTTATCCAAAGATGTAATTTACTATACTAGGGGCCTAATAAATACGTCTTGAGAGACTGTTTTGCTTCTTCCCTGACTTAACTCTCCTTGTTATAGTGTTTCAGTGAGTTTACCATGTGGTGTACAAAGTCATTCAGAACTAAATTGAATGCAAGATGTATAAAAGTAATTGATATTTACATTGTATGCTTGCTACTGTGCTGTCTGTAATTCGGAGTGTTGACCTCACTTCCAGCTTGATCTGCACTGAAAGGGAAACTGTACACGTGTGTTATATCCCAGAGGTACCCATTGCAAGCCTCACTTACTTACCTGGTGCCAGATACCAGAATCTGTAACCTGCACTGATGAAAAGGCTCCTAATAGGTCATCCTGTGTTTACCTTACTATCAGTGTATTCTACACACTTCAGCCTGTTCCATTGAAACTCAGTCAAATACACTGGCTCTGGAGACAGATAGGGGGAGTTAAACTGCTTAGTGTTGTCTCAAATGATGGGGTCTTTGTGTCTCTCACATGGAGGAAACTGAGAGACCTGGTAGAGAGGGTGGGTTGCCTGTAACACAGGGTGGAAGGTGAGCCTTAGATATTCAGATCTTGAGAATTAGAAGCTAGCAATAAAAGCACAAGAAACTTAGAGAAGTAGTTTGAGTTAGCCAGTATGCAACTATGTTCAATCCAAAAAACATCTTTTGATTTTAGCGTTCCTCCATTCAAATCAAGCCCACTGGATGACACAACAAAGTATCCCCACTTCCCTCCCTGGCAACACAGACTGGACTCCTTCATTTGCCTAGGTTAATCACACAAGGTCCATAAACAACAGTTCTCATAAAGGATGTTCACTCCTTCATTCAGTCAACCTCCACAACTCAGGCCTTTTACCAAAAATTGTTATTTACAATAACTCTCTGAAGAAAGGATGTTTCCTTTGGAATTTGAGCTCACAACTTAGCTAGTTTACTGACTTACAGATGACACTCCCTCCAAGGTCCCCTTAACTTGTTTTTCTCTGACATCTCAAGGAAAATAACAAGTCAGCTCCCCTGAGGCAGCATTTGGGTTCCCTAGAAAGCTTTTGCTCTGGATTTTTTGGAAGCCACATTTCTCACCACCAGGAACTGAGCCTTTAGAGGACCCAGGGGCCAGAACAGCTGTTGCTTTCCGGCAGCTGAAGAGCCATCCCAAGCTTTTCATGTAAACAAAATCTTTGTTACCTGTCAGCCTAAGTGTCGCACATGTTTAGTTTTTCCATCTTCGTGTTGTGGATGGAATCCAAGTAAAAGACTCAGAAAATCATCTCAGTGGATTCTCAAATGACAGCTGTTTTTAGCTTCAGCTCTAATTCAATTCTATTCACTGTTTTATCTTTCCTCTCTCATTGGCCCCAGTTGCAAGAATATGTCTGCTAGGGATTATTCCTGCATTTCTTGAGAAGAAACCTGAGAGTTAAAAAATGAGTTTACAGAGTGTTTAACTCACTAATAGATTTTTTATATGAAAACTAATAATATGTTCACAGTTCAAGAATCCACCCTTTGGCAGTACAACACACTGGTTTTACCTGTCTTTCTTTTCTTCTAATTAAGATAGCCATTTTCAGGAACTTTGAAGCAAATCAAATGAAATATCCAGCTTCACTGTATGAAGTATTTACTCTAAATTTCAGATTATCACAGAATGTCAATCTTTAATTATATAGTTGAATAATAAAATCCTATTTATATATGTGAAATATGTATGCATGTTCCTGGATATATAATAGGTGATTTTGGAAACAAGTGTACATGAATTTCAAAAGTGGAATGTTTTAAGGATTTTCTTTCAAGTTCCTATCATATATATATATATATATACACACACACACACACACACAAACACACACACACACACACACACATATATATATATAACTATGTGACAGAAATAAATGATAAGAAAATTAATAGATGCTTCCATGTGTATCCAGTGGTTGTAATAAGTGAGTTTCATCTGTGGGCTTCCCTGGTGTTTCTATCACTGTGGAAGAATATCACAGTGGACATCTCCCTGTTTCTCTAATCTCTGAGTTACTAGCAGCAAATGGTTTAGCTATGGGATACATAAGATTTCTCTCTTAATAATTACTTTTATCAGTATCTTTGCTTTGCTTTATTTTTTATCTATAGTACTTAATCTAAATTTAATTTTCAGAGCATCAACTTGGGAAACAACATCTTACTATAGAATAAGAAAATAAGTATATTTTGTCTACCAGATATGAGGTTTAATATTTCGTAAAATATATTTCAAATTAGAAGAGATTTTAAATAGAAGTCAAATAGAATGTCACTCTAGCCTACCTATTTGAGCCACATCATTTGTAAATAGTCATGTGTAAGAAAGCAGCAGTTATGTAAATTAATGTATTTACTTGTACCAATTCATTAATCTCTTTTCAAAATGTGGTGGTTGTTATATATGTCATTGGTCACCACTTCTATCAATATATATGTTCTAAATAAAAGTAAAGTGTGAGTAAGTGTGGGAATCAGTATGCATCATCTTTCTAATACAGTAGCTTACACATTTACTACATTTTTTTCCAATTAACTTTTAAAGGGAATTCAAGGCCATCATGGTGCAAAAGGAGAGGTATGTTTTTTCATGATTATGCTCTTTGTTTCTTCTTTATTGTCTGAATTTCCTATACTAGATAAATCTAACTATTGACATCGCAAACAGAAAACATCTTTCATGTTCTTCAGTAGTTTTTAAATAATGATTTTTAGAATATGTAGGTTCATCGAATTGGGTATGAGATGTTTGATATTTGCCAATATTATTGGTTTGCTTAGATTGGGAGTTCAGTTTTCCTGCTGATTTTTCAATAAGAATATTTTCTGTTTCCTTTTTTGTCTGTTTCTCTCAAAGACTGGGGAACAGGACAGTGTCACATCATTGTATCACAGGCTTTGTGCATACTGCCCACACAGCAACTTTGCAGGCCAGACGGATGATCTAGTGAATGGATGCATGCAGTTTGATAGAAATTGTCCTGCCAGTCAATACCAGTACTGCCTACATACATCATGTAATTTTAGTTCTTGAATTATTGTATAGAATTTTAAAATTTCTTTTGTTTTTAGAGAGGTGAAAAGGGAGAACCTGGTGTCAGAGGTGCCACTGGACCTAAAGGAGAATCTGGGGTGAATGGTCTGATGGGACCCATAGGTCCCCAGGGACCGCCTGGGGAAACAGGGCCTCAGGGACCTCCAGGATTGGATGGGAAACCTGTACGTAGTCCTAGTGTTTCATAGTTTTCATGGTTTTTGCTTGTTATATTCTTGTTATAACCGCTAATAATTTGATGCAGGGGAGAGAATTTTCAGAACAGTTTATTCGACAAGTTTGCTCGGATGTATTAAGAGGTGAGTTTTCATACACATTTTTAATTTTTTTTAATACAAAAGTAATACAAGTTTTTTGGTAGAAATTATAGACCATATAAGTAAGATAAAGCAGAAAATGTTTATGAACTCACATTTTTTTTCCTCTACATGAGTGTTTTTGTAAAGACAAAATATAGATAAAATGAAAATCACATACTCTTGTAATCTTGCAGCAAAATGCTTTATCATTAATTAAACTCTTTTCATAACTTAAAAATATGGTTTTCTGTAACTTAGTCTGCCCATTTCTCTTGGTGGGGTACTTTGATCCCCCCTACCCATATTAAAGCAATTGTACAAATAAAGCTATTTCACAATATGTTGATCATTTCTGTATTTAAATTCCTAGTTAGCCATGAAATAAGCACTATAAACTTACACAAAATTATTAGCGATTTTATAAACCCTTCCTTACTATTTAGATCTAAGATGTGGGGTTTCTTTGCTTCATAGCCCAATTGCCAGTCTTACTTCAGAGTGGAAGAATTCAAAATTGTGATCATTGCCAGTCCCAACGTGGTTCCCCTGGTATGCCTGGGCCACCAGGTCCCATGGGGCCAGAAGGACCCCGAGGATTTCCTGGCTTGCCTGGGAGAGATGGTGTTCCTGGATTGATGGGCGCTCCTGGACGTCCAGGTGCCAGAGGATTAAAAGGTATGTAATATGCATGCATAAGCAAATGAACAACAAAATGGCATACTTTACATTTACAACTCAAATACTTTTAATAGGTCAGAGTTCATCTTTGTTTTCATGACAAGAAGTTTTTGTAAACTCCTTTTGTAAATTTTTATATAATGTGTAACTGTGTTAAAGAGCAATTATTACATCTTGAGCAATATCCTCCAGTATAAAAGAGGAAAGTCAAAGTCATGAAGCATGTGAAGTTACAAATTAGAAAACATTCACAAATTAGGAATGTTGTATGTGTCTAATAAAATCTTTACATAGATGTTCACATGCTTCAGTTCCTTCTTTGACTGTGCTCTCTGTTAATTTATTCAAGTGTTTTATAGGAAAATATATATTTGATGAGCAGATTTCCTAATAGTTTACAACTTCTCTTTGCTTTAAAATGTTTATGTGAATTGTTGGTTACCATTTCTTAAATTCTTATTAATATTATTATGAACAACTTAGATGTTTCACCAAAGTAATACAGGAGCAACTGAAATAACAAAAAGAGCTAATAATTCCTAACATTTCTTAATATTTAATTCCCATTAAATCTGGACCACTGATAATTTTATACATTTTTGCCTCAAAACATCTGCTTGCCATTAGTAATAATAAACAGGTGACAAGCAATGTTTAAAAGATTTACTTTTCCTTCAATAGGTGTGTTACGCTGGTTTTGAAAGTGTAGGAGGTGGTGATTTTTTTTTAAAAAGATTTATTTATTTATTAGTACAGAACTGGGGTACAGGTCAGAGATGCAGAGGGTGAGAGGATTCACCAGAGACAGAGTGGGGTGCAGAACAGGCAGATCCACGAAGTACACTGCTGAGGGGAGCAGCAGGCGGGTCAGGAGAGGTCTGCCTCGCCATGTGGTCACCTCCGGGGCAGGCGGGAATCGAACTCATGCGGAAGTGGCTTTAGCTTCTTAGTGCTGTGCTTTAACCCGCCGCGCCACCAGGGAGGGCCCAAGAGGTGTTGATTTTACAGGTAAGGGAAGCTCACTTGCATCTTTGATACTCTGTAGGCCTACCAGGAAGAAATGGGGCCAAGGGGAGTCAAGGATTTGGGTATCCTGGAGAACAAGGTCCGCCCGGCCCCCCAGGTATGCTTTGGTTTATGCACCTAAGTGGTATTGCTCATTTTGCTTTAAATATATCACTATAAATCTGTGTAAAAATTTCAAAACCAAGGTATTTGTTTCTGTATATTTTTTGATTCATATTCAATGCATTGATTTCTAAACTACTAGAATTTTAAAAAATATGTTTTCTTATATTCATGAATCATACTGGATTCACTATCATTTAAAAAGTCTAATATCTACTCCTTAGAATTGTTCTTACATGTTTTGTCACCTAAGTGACATGTATTTCACTATTTCGTCTTTATGACTTTGAGGGAAGCAGAATTAGGAATGCTGAAGTAGGTAGACTAGCTTGGCTTTAACTTTGCCATACCTCAGTTTCTGCATTTGTGAAATGGTGATAGGTTAACCACATTATGACATTATTAGAAGATTAAATGAGCTACTTTAAGCTTTTATATAGCATTTTCAGAACATAAAAACATGAGTGATGTTTTTAATAAATGTGTACTATTATTTTAGGTGTTATTGCCTTCTGAGGCTTTTGAAATGGATCAAGTGATTTAACACTATTTACTCAAAACTTTTGGAACAATGCTTAAATTTGTTGCCAATTTTACGTAAATGTTTACTGATAACTAAATGCAAATACAGCAAGAGCTAAAGTTAGTAAGAAGTGCTATAAATCACTGCCTTCCATTGCCAAGTCTAAATTTTGTTTTATTACTTGGCACCATCAACGTTAGAAGGCCAAATTCTAAGTTAGTTCTTCTTTCTTTTAAGCATGCCAGTTGAATTAACGAGGCTTCTTCTTCTTTTTTTTTTTTTTGACAAACTAATTTTAAATAACATCTGTGTGTATTAATCATTATTATCCTGTGTCAATATATTTAGCTATGGAAAATAAATTACTGTGTGTAAAGTGGAATAGTCATTTTTACTGCAAATACAAAAAAGCTTGTGGAGCTTTGGTTTAATATCCCACTTGCTAATTTATAATGATATCGTCAAAAGTTATACACTTGAGGAAATAATTTGGGTAGCCCATAAATGGAAATATTAGAAGGTTAACAAACTGTTTATCTGTGTCATGTTTTCTATAGTAAAATAATTGTGTATTTTCATAGAAATCACTGATTTGGGGAAATTTTTTTCAAAATGGAAGGCATATAGACTTAATGAGAGAATACCTCCTCCTCTTACGGGTAGACATGTAAATTTTTAGATTTTCTTCCCCCCCCCAGTATAAACTTCTTGCAGAAGGTCTTACAGCTATATCACCTTTGAATTCCAAACACCACCACTTATAAATTGCTAATGTCCCTTCATAGGTCCAGAGGGTCCTCCTGGAATAAGCAAGGAAGGTCCTCGAGGAGACCCTGGTCTCCCTGGCAAGGATGGAAGTCATGGAAAAGCTGGAATCCAAGGGCAACCAGGCCCTCCTGGCATCTGCGATCCCTCACTGTGTTTTAGTGTAATTGCTGGAAGAGATCCATTTAGAAAAGGACCAAACTATTAGTCTCTGATGCCTCACTCAGCCTGGGCATGGTGCTTTTCTCTGTGGTCTTTTGCATCTCAGGAAGATAGCCAACAGTAATCCCTTGAAAAAACTAAAGTACCTCGGTGTTTGTATTATTATTATTTCCTTAAAGAAAAATATAAAGGTCACATATACTGATTTTAAAGGGTTCTCAGTAATGTGGAGCCTTCAGATTAGTTACATTAAATCTCAAGGGTTTCTTGAAAGTCCATTAGTTTTGGTCGAAGTTGAATATTAAAGAATCCCACCACTGTCTGTTAGCCAGTCCATTTTTGTCACTGTGAAATAGTTCACATTCATCTTCCATGAATCCTCCAGAGTATTTGAGTTCACCTTTGCGTCTATGTGTATTTCATGTTTAATATCTCATAGCTCATGCTTCTACATTAGTCAAAATATATCTATTGGAAATAAGGGTAGGGCTGATATGCAGCAGCCACAGGTCATATTGCCATGTTCGTCATCATGCGGCATCTGTGCTTAGCAGATATGGGCAGTCAACTGCCGGTTCGTCAGTGTTTTGAATATCACCTGTGAATAAGACCTGTATGTTTATTATTTCATTGTAAGTTCTAAAATTTGTTGAATGATGATGCTAAGATAGTGTGTTAATTATATTGGGAATGGTCAAAACTATCTAACATTAACATTTTAAAACAAGAAATATTTCACAACACAGTCAATATGTTCAAGAAAAATGCTTGCTCAGAAATACTAAAAAGACTTGGTTCTTCAATCTTGTTGAGAAATTGGAATGTTATATGACTCTGTATTTCATTTCACTTATACGTGTATGTTTTTATATGTTAACTTTGGTTGTAACAAGCTAAAGGGAATAAATACTCCAGTTGAAAGGAAAGGTAGCTCCACAGATCCTAGTATGTCTTGATTTTTTTTTTTTTTACAGTCTTTGAAATGCTCTGAACAGTCTTGAAGTCCTATACTTAGTGCTTTAGCAAGAAATGTTTATTTGAGATATTTCAACTTTATCGTGTTCTAAATTTTGTTATATTGTTGTTACTCAAAGTTCAATAAAGTTTTGTACAGAACTGATTGTGCGGTCTTTTTTATACTTACTTTTATTTTATTGTAAGTACATTATCCATGTTACATTGTCACTTATTCAAGGGATATAATTTATTAGATGATTGATCTATCTTCAAGTAACTGCTTCATCTGAAATAAGAACTCAGATATTCAGTTGGTAAGCTACTCACCTGAGCAGAGGAAACAACTGCTTTCTGATCCAAGAATGGCTGTTTGCCCATGTTTTGCTTTAGTGACATGCCATCCTACCACTTTGATGAGGACTTTGGAAGAGACTGAAATCCATGTTCTGTGTTACCATTGGCCTTGTTTTGAGGTTCTCTCTCCAACCAAGTTGAGGTATCTTCTTAGGCCTAACTGTCCTCCTACCCCTGTGAATTATGGATCATGCTATTAAGACACAGCCAAGGAGCATCAACCAGCATTGACCAGATGGCCAGTTAAGTGCAAGGTATTATGCTAAAAATACAAGGGGAGTATAGTTAAGGAGTCTGACCTGAGGGAACTTATGTCTATTATGAGCCACAGGTTAAGAAATAAGTGAATTTAATACATTCATTCTGAGAAATGATGAAATGATACAAATGTGTAGTAATGTTATAGACAGAAAGGTATCCGTCTCAAATTCACATACTGAAGCCCTACCCCTGCCTGAGCCTATAGGAAGTAGTCAGAGATAAAAGAGGTAATAAGGTGGGGTCCTAAACCATAGAATTGGTGACCTTATAAGTGGAAAAGAGAATTTCTCTCTATAAGCATTCAGGCTATGCCACATGTGAGCACATAGTGATAAGGTAACCATCTTCTGTAAGTCAGAGAGAGAATCCACCCTGGTCTTCAACCTCCAACTTATAGAAAATAAATCTCTGTTGTTTAGACCACCCATTTTAGGATTCTCTGTTATGACAGACCAAGTTTATAATACATCATAGTAGAGATCATCCCTAAAGCAAAGATTATAAACAGATTGTAAAGATTAGAAGAACTTAGTATAACCAAGTCAAATCTAGATAAAATGAGCAAAGGCTGGGGGTTTAAAAAAAGCATGGGAAGTTGTAAGAACATCAAAATCTATAGCATATAAATTCTACTTAGATCCAGTATCCTTGCTTTTAAAATTGGTGTTTCAAGTTGTTATATTTCTACAATTTATCATGCTAGTATATGTTATGTCCTAGCATATTTCTGCATTGGGAAAATTTGAGATTACCCCATGATGTGCTGATTTTTAAGAAGGATTAGGTGAATTAATTTTTCCTACAAGTATATTCTATACCATAGTGTGCATTAGCACCATGTTAAACTAAAGCCTATTCATGAAATGGGAACTATTTAGGGGAAAATAAGTTATTGGGGCCTTTTGGGCTATTTTACTTATATTTTAATTTTATTAACTGGATTGTATTCCTGGTTCTCTGAAATTTATCATGTAATTTAATTTTCATTACAAAGTGGTTCTTAGAGAACTACAAATGATTCTTAGCTCCCTACACATACCGATACACACATACATAGTTATTACTACACATAAATACACATTCTCAGATAATATCACTGTATATATTTATATACTTAATTTGAACATTTCTTAGATTTCTAAGTACAACTTGATTTATAGCCCTGAAATTTACTCCAGGGAAGAAATCATTTTTTATAAATTGAACATGTAAGTAATTGAATGATACCACCTACAAGTTTACATTTTATCTCTCTGCTTTTCCTTTGTGTGGTTCAGTTTAACTAAAGTGCTTTGTTTAGGAGCTCTGAAGAATTCTGCAGTTTGATATCTTTCTTGTCAAAGGAGTGGTTGAAATTTACTCCTGTTATGCCCCAGTTACTGATCCAGACCATTAACTCTTATTTTAGCTGTGCTGTGACTGGGGAAGGCAGAAGCTATGGTTATCATTAGCCAGTTTACAATAAATGGGAAAGCCTCATATCCTATAATCTGATTGATTATAGATTGTATAAAAGGTCAACAATGAGATTCAGAGTTCTGTGGCTAAAGTGTTGAGAGTCTTGTCTTTGAGGGCTGTGAGTCATGACTGGGAGCATAAAAGAAAGCTGAGTCTTTCTTTAGTTTTAAAAGAAAAGACCAGAAATAAAGCCATATGCTAGTTAAACCCAGCTGCAAAGATTTTGCTGGAATGCTTTTACAAAACTTCATCTTAAATATGACATATAAAAATGTTTAGCCCCATATACCACATTTGAAATAAAGAACATCACCCCTCCTACTCATTAATTATTTTTGAATTCTGCCTTCCCCAAAATCAGTTCTCATAGACAAATTTTGAATAAATGGATAAATTTTAAAAGTATTTTACTGAAAGATGAAAATGACAATTCAAAATAGTTGGACCAAATATTTATTGTAAGAGAGATTGAGAAAAACTATTATTCAATCATCCCCATTTGCCATTTTCAAATATTACCACCTTTAGAAAGTGTCTCTAGCTCCTGTAGAGTAAAATTCAAATTCAAATTTGGAAATAAATTGTTTTGACAAATACTCAAGAAGAGTTCTGAGACATATGACTTAGGATTAATCTGATAACTTAGCAAAATCTGTTTTCTCATCTCTAAAACAAAGAGTTTAAGTTACTGTGTTTTTTTTAACTAAGGATGTTCATTAGAATCACCTAGGGAGCTTGTTTAGTTATTCTGTAATTGGCATGTCTAAATGTCAGAGGAAATAATGGCATGAAGACCTTGAGCAAGAGTATATGCCTCAGTGGAAGTAATTTTGTATTTTGTTTTGGTTTTAGAGAGCTGGTGGTGAAAAGTGGCAAAAGATAAGGGAAGAAAGGCTGGAAGTGGAAAGAGAAATGAAGAGGGAAGGAGGAGACATCAAATAGAATTGTTAAAAAGGTTTTAAGGTGGAAATAACATGAAAATATTTGTATTGTGCATAGATCACTGACTACAGTAATAGTATATGAAATCAGTAAGATTGGAGGTGAAAAAAAGAAGTAACGTGACCCATCATAATGGCACAATAATAAGTTGAGTTTGTGTTGTCACTTTGCTTTTATGAAAGACCTTCATTGTACCTGTTATTGCTAACCAAAAGAAATTTGAAGGAAATTTTCACTTTTACAACAAAAGTCAAAAGCCAAAAGCCAAAATATGTGCTGCAGCTGCCTCAGTGAGCATGAGCTTCTCTGGGAATTACTTTATAGCAGATGTGAATTAATCACATCATTTTTTAATATGTGTTGGTGTTATTTTAGGTCTTACTTGTTTTTTAGTATGATTTTGTGCATAGTTTTTTTGGATCAAATATTGCTGTTATGTAGCTCTTTCCATCTGGCTGTTTTAAGTTACATTCTTTGATAAGATAGTAGCAATCTGGTAGGTAAAATATTTCTCTGAGTTCTCTGAGCTGCTCTCAGGAAATTAATAGAAACTCAAGGAGAACATCCAGGGAACCTCTGATTTACCAGTTGGATAAAAGTATAGGTAACATCCTGAATGTAAACTGGCATCTGAAATGTGTGTGTATATGTAAAATTGGGTACTAAAAACTAGCAACAGCAAATTTTGATGAGGATGTGGAGAAAAAGGCACTCTCTTACAGTGCTGGTGGGAACACAAACTGGTCCAACCATTATGGAAAACTGGAGGTTTCTCAAACTGCTAAAGATTGAGCTTCTATATGATCCAGTAATTCCACTCCTAGATATCTGCCCAAAGGGCACAAAAACATTAATCCAGAAGGACACCTGCACCCCATGTTTATTTCTGTTCTATTTACAACAGGGAAGATGTGGAATCAACCCAAATGCCCCCCCCCAAAAAAAAGATGATTGGATCAAGAAGATGTGGTACATATACACAATGGAATATTACTTAGCAATCAGAAAAGATCAAGTCATACCATTTGTGGCAAATGGATTGAACTGGAAATGATCATCTTAGTGAGATAAGCCATAAAGAAAAAGAAAAATACTGGATGGTTTCATACATAGTATGAGTGTAAGGGATCAGGATTAAAAAGTAAAATCACAAATCAGCAAACCAAAGACAGTCTATGGAGGTGGAAAGGAGGGGAATAGTATCAAAACTGTGGTGGAAAGAGCATATGGAACTATGATGATGGCACATGTCCCTGTATTGCTTTTTGGTGGGGATAACCACTGCCCACTTTGGAATTAATACCAGAACCAATTGGTTGTTACACACAGGATGATCTTATTTGCAGGACTCTCCTTTCATTTTCTAGAGGTGTCCCTAAAAAATTCTTGCAGGGTGAGTGTGGAGTCCATGATCTGACAAATGAAATGAAAGACATTTGCTTCAGGCTTCTGCTGAGGCAAAACATGTTATTCTTTTTCTAACTCTACCTCTGTAAGTGACCAGAAATCTCCTCTCTCAAATCTATTTATACTAGCCTTGTACAGATTATAGCAATGAATTGTATCCACTTTTCCTTTTCTGCAATTCAGAGGGATGTTATTTTGTTCATGCAGTGCTCTTTAGGAACATTTGATAGTATAAAGATTCAAACTTATGTCATCTGTCTCCAGAGACTTGACCATATATCATCACATTGTCCTTCCTCCTTGAAATTGGAAAATAAGTCATTCTAATTATTTTTCTCCTCTGTTTAAGTGTTTTCCCCTATTTCTCCTATCTGATTAGTGATAGGAGAAATCCTTAAAGTAAACTTAAGTCCTGTGGTTTTCTTAAGATTACTCAAAAGGAGGAAATACTTGGTCAACAGTGCTACATGTTATTCCTTTATGATATTAAGAGAGAAGCTGAGGCATCATAAAAATTCAAGAGTTTATTTGAGAAAAAGTTAATTCAAATGGGTCTGCACCAAATCATAAGGAATCCACCAATAGGAGATAGAGGAAAAATATAGTGAAGAGGCAGAAATAAAGCAAGGGAACAATTTAAATGATGCTA